ACCCATTGACCTTATAATGACAACAGTAAAAAATATGTTTACGGTTTAACCTAAAAAATATAACAATAGTTCCTCTTTTAGGATCTTATGCAATTCCTCTAGCCACAAAAGAACACTGTGTGTACTTTATATTATTTTTAAATTTCCTTCACATGTGTTGGTACCCATGGAACAGAACCGCATGAGTCAAATTAACGACCATCAGTGACTTCTACAAAAGCTTTCAGGACTTCAGGACCGCTGATGATATAGCCACAGAAAGTGTTCACTAAGAGTAACTAAGTCACTTAGGTATAAAGCTCACAGACTTTTCGACTATGACTACTTGAGAAGTGGCTAAAGCTTTTTCGGAAGTCATGGAAAAAATCTTAAGGTCACAAAATCACCTGATGAAAACCAAAAAGTTTTACTCAGTCAAACCACCCAGTGTGAAATCACAGCAGTTTGCTACCTCAGAGTGAGTGAAGGTGAGGGCACAGTGGCAGGACCAAGCTAAGCAAAGCAGGCTAAGCCCATTTCCAGTCCTCCAATTTTCCCTCCCCAAATTCTTATTCCCATTATCCGCAAGCTCCAAAAAATGATCAAAACACAATACTCTCGAGATTATTTGCTTGTTGTCAAATCAAAGCCTTTACCCAGAGATTAAGGCAATGTCTAGTGGGTACTGAGGAGTCAGCAAGATTGTAATCATAAACACTGAGTGACAGAGACTCCTGTCACACAGCGAATGAGGAGATGAGAGAAACACAGAGAACTGTGGAGCTGTGACTGGCGCTGAGCCATCCAGTGGGCTTCTCAAGTGAGCGAGAATGCCCTCTGGGCATAAAATGTAGTCAACAAATTTGGTTATAAAAACCATTTAGAAAAGTGCTTCTTTCCAAGACCTAAAAGATGGCCATATCTAACTCGGGAATAGTTCATTTCTTTTACTTTTAAATAGAAGAGCATTTTCTTTCCCACGAGCATTAAGAACAGACTATGTATCCATATTTAAGTAGTTTCAGGAGGCAAAAAACCTGGGCTCCCTATCCTGACCTGGCGGAAGCTCCTTCACTGAAGCATGCTGTTTCTAATCTACGGATATTTAGTGATCGCAACTGTGCTGGAGCTGCGCGCAGTGGCTCACGCCTGTAAGCCTGGCCGAATTCAAGACCAGCTTGGGCAACACAGCGAAACCCCATCTCTACAAAAACAGAAATATTAGCCGGGGTGATGGCACAGGCCTGTAGTCCCAGCTACTCAGGAGGTCTCAGAGGTGGAGGATCGTGTGAGCACAGGAGTTTGAGGCTGCAGTGAGCTATGATGGAGCCGCTGCACGCCAGCCCGGGTGACAGAGAGAGACTCTGTCTCTAACAAAGAAAACAACGACAACAAAAACTGTGTTAGAAAGTTTAACTAAAAGAAAGCTTCATGCTGAAATGCTTTTCCTGAGGGAAAGACAATGACCATGCATTTCTTACATAGAATAAAACTGGTTATTTATATGTAAGTTCCCCACCCCCATCTCTTTCATCTTTGTACCCCTTGTGCCTGGCACAGAAATAGATATTCAATACAAGTTTGTTAAATAAAAAATTGTTTCTTTCCTTCTCATGCATGCTTTCTCTTCATTTTTCTTATCTGAAGTCTTCCCTGGGATTATAAGGAAGTCTTCCTCCTCCACATTAAATATCTCATTACCTGATTGTTTTTCAGTTAAACAAACGGAGACTACAACAACAAGAAGTCTTTACTGATAGCTAAGAGTTACTGAAAGTGCCTTTTTAGTTACAAAAAGTAGATCCATTCTTTAATGGAAAGCAAGTAGTTCACAAATAAACCTAAGGGGATCGTCTTCTATAGATAGATATGAAGTATCTAAGAAGAAACGAATAGCCAATCTACACCTATATGATGGCAAGAATTAGACCGAGACTTTTAGAGTTAGAGGAGACTTTAACATCAGGTCACCTGGTCTGGTCTCCCATCCAATCCAAACCGAGCTTTGCCTGGCCTTCCCTTCCCTTTACCCCCTCCTGAATCATGCCCCCTTGGGCTAGCAGTTCACGAGAAGGCAAATAAAGTAAGATAAGCAAGGAGGGCAAAATGAGTAATTTAAGGCTTTGAATCTAAGTTTTCTGACACTAGTGAAAGAGATGCTATCACAATTCCTGAAATACTGAAACAGCCCTCTCTGTCCAGTCTCAGCACACAATGCAGAAAAGGCCATGAGCGAGCACATTTACCATTCTTCAAATGCCACTTGGAAAGCTTCACCATTATTCATGAAAGGAAGTGCTGACAATATAAGGGAAGTTCGGATCTCATGTGTAATTCAACGAATTTAAAGCTTTTAAGCATATTAAAATCCTCCCTTTAAAGCTTTATCCTTCTTTATTCAAGAAAATTTGTAATACCAACAAAGACATGAGGAAGGCCGGGTGCGGTGGCTCACGCCTGTAATCCTAGCACTCTGGGAGGCCGAGGTAGGAGGATCACTCAAGCTCAGGAGTTCAAGATCAGCCTAAGCAAGAGTGAGACATCGTCTCTACTAAAAATTAGCTGGGTGTGATGGTGCACACCTGTAGTCCCAGCTACTCAGGAGGCTGAGGCAGGAGGATCACTTGAGCCCAAGAGTTTGCGGTTGCTGTGAGTTAGGATGACACCACAGCACTCTAGCCTGGACAACAGAGCAAGACTCTGTCTCAAAAAAAAAAAAGAAAGAAAAGACATGAGGAACTGGAACTGCTATACACTGCTAGTGGGAATACAAACTGGTACAACCACTTTGGAAAACTGTTTGACAGTATCTACCAAAACTCAACATATGCCTACCTATGATCTAGGAATTTTACATGGGGGTATAATCCTAAGGGAAAAGGGTGTTTATGTTCACTAAAAAACATATGAAACAATGTTCATTACACAAAATCAGAAACCACTTACATGTTCTGCAACAATAGAATGGATAAAACAAATTGCAGGGCCAGGTGTAGTGGCTCATGCCTGTAATCCTAGCACCTGTGGGAAGCAGAGTTGGGAGGATTGCTTGAGGCCAAAAGGTTTAAACCAGCCTGGGCAACGTAGAAAGACCTCCATCTCTACAAAAAATAAAAAATATTAGCCGAACGTTGTGGCACACACCTGCAGTCCCAGCTACTTGGGAGGTTGAGGCAGGAGGATCGCTTGAGCCTAGGAGTTTGAGGTTACAGTGAGCTATGATCATGCCACTGCACTCCAGCCTGGGTGATAGAGCAAGACCCTGTCTTGATAAATAAATAAATAGTAATGTCTATTCATACCAAGGAATGGTACCAGCAGCTAGAAAAAGAAAAGAATAATAAGAAAGAACCACTGCTACAGAGAACAAGGTTGGGTCTCATGATCACAATGTTGAGTAAAAGAAGCTGGACATAAAAGAGTACATAATGACTGATGATTTGGTTTACATAAAGTTCGAAAACAGGCAAAAGTAATCTATGGCATTAGAAGTCAGGATAGTGGCTAACTGAGGGGTAGAGAAGGAAGGCATTGACACAGAGGGTGGAGCTAGAACTGCTCCGTATCTCCACTCAATAGTGGTTATGTGAGTACATACATATAAGAAAACTAATGGAGCTGCAGTCTTAAGATTTGTGCATATTTACTGACTGCCAATTATACTTCATTTAGAAAAATCTGGAGAGATATATAAATTTCTGAGATCTTTCTTAAATATAAAAGAATTCAATGCAGCTTTAATATAGTTGCAAATATTGCTGTTTATACTTTTAGAAAGCCTATTATGCTACTGAAAAACGCACTTACTACTTAATATCATTCATAACAAAAAGCTAATACTTTGTATTAATAGGATCTTAAAAACATATTGTACTATATATTTGAAATATACATATTTACCAACTAGTAAAGATAAATGTTTAAGAAATGTACAATGTGTTTTTCCACTCTTTCTTCTCTTGCTTTACATTTCTTACTCTTTATAATTATGAATTATTTGCAACAGAAGCTATTGGAACCAATTCCTGCACGTCTATTCTGCAAATATTTTCCCTATTTGCCAAAGAGACTTAAAGTTAGAATCCCAGAATTTCAGAGCTAAAAGGGACACAGCCAGACTCCCTCACTGGACAGATGAGGCCGCCGAGGCTGGGGGTGGTGAATGCTGGTCCCAAGGTTGCAGACCTAGGGCAGGAACCTGAGCTCCCAGGCTGCCAGCACTATGTCTCCTTCAACCCAAATTCGATTCAACCCTCACATCTTTCCAAACAGAAAGCTGACACGAACCGGATCGGAAGGGGATTTTTACCCCCAGTAATAACTATGCAACCCAGCAGATTATCTGGGGACAGTCCTCAGAGTCCTTGAAAACCCTCTGGGGTTTCATGCCAGGATAAAAAGGACGTGTAGGAGAAAGGGACAGCTAGTATTTTAATATGTAAATCCTGTTTACATAATATTTCCAAAGTCACTATTTGTTGATGCAACCGAAATTTGGCGGAGGTGGGGGTCGTTACTGGGGAGGACTCCCGCTGGGGGAGACCGCGGCCGCATTTCCCCACCAGAGTTCGCTCCACAAATCAAAACCTCCAAAGAAGAGTTAAAGACGCCACCCAAGAGTCCACAGCATCCCGGGGTCGGTCCGGGCGAGGTCCCCGGCCACCTGGCGCCAAGCTCGCGGCCGCAGACGCACCCCGACGGCCCAGCGCCCGAGCGCCCCGCCGCAGCCCCCCGCCCCGCGCCGTGGCTTGGCGAGGCCGCCCGCGGAGTCCGGAGGAGCGCCGTTAGGCGGAGAGGGAGGAGGGCGTGGGGTGGGAAAAGCCGGGGCCGTGGGCAAGTTCTGGGCGAGTCCGGAGGGCGCGAGAGAGGGGAGGGAGGGGCACGGGGCGAGGGGACGAGCGAGCGCGGGGAGGAGCGAGGCGCGGGCCGGAGGAGGCGCGCGCACGGGTCCCGGTGCGGGGTGGGGGCCGAGGGGCCGCGCCGGGGCCGCAGGGGCAGCGCGCGTGCGAGCGGGGCCTTACCGAGCAGCGGCAGCCGGCCGCCGCGGCGCGCCAACGCCGGCATGGCCTCCGGAGCCCGGGGTCCCCAGGCCGCGCCGGCCCAGCCTGCGATGCCGCCCGGAGCGGCGCGCCCCGCGCTGCAGGTGGCTCTCTTAAGGATGCGCGTCACCGACCGCAAATTCCCTCGGACTGGTGCAAAGTGGACGGGGGGAGGAACCGTCTCCCCAGAGGCAGGGGCCGAGGCGGGAGCGGAGAGGTTGGGCCGGGCCGAGCAGCCGGTGCCTGGCGCAGCGCTGCAGCCGAGCCCACGTGCCCGCCGCCGTCCGCAGCCTGCGCCCGCGGCGCCCGGGGCTCCCCGACTGCGGCGGGGGAGACTGGGTGCGGTCCGGCCGGGGAAGTTGCTCCGGCTCCGCCGCTCTGGCCGCCTGGCTGCCCCAACCCTCTCGCTTGGGTCCGGAGCGTGGGGACCGCAGGGAGCCACAACCCGCCCTCCTCGAGCGCGCGGATCTTTGAGGCCCCAAGAAGGGCGCTGAATCCACGCCACGCTCTCGGCGGGTCTCAGCTGTGGGCCGGGTTTCCCGTCTCTCCCTCCATCTCCGAGGATGCCCGGGACCCGGTCAGCAGCAGGGCCAGGAAACAGAGGCTGGGTTTTAATGCCGACCTCGGCTACGAGGGAGGTCACCGACAGCCCGCAGAACAAACCGTGCCAGTGTAAATACACCCCGGAGGATGTTTTGCATTATCCTCTCCATTGGCTCTTGTTCTTCATATAATTTTCCAAGTTGAAAATTAGTTTCTTTGCAATAAATTGAAGATTGGAAAGCTTTAGATGCCGGGTCTGGTTCTTCCTTTCTTTAACAAGCCCTTTGACCTCCACAAGCCACTTGTCCTCTGAGTGTCTGTTTACTCACCGTAAATGAAGGGGGGTGGACCAAGTGCTTTATAATGTCCCTCCCAATTCTAGGACTTACATGTTCTTAATTATTTTAATCGTTTTCTAATAAAGCATGAAAATTGCTTACTCTTGGCCATGCAATCCTTTTTCCTTAGTTGTCGTCTATAGTACAAGTTTTCCTCACAGGCATGACAGAAACTTTAGAAGTGTCTACCATGGTGCACCCACTATGGAAAACAGTGCAGCAGGTTCGCAAAAAAATTTTTTTAAAACCCTATGATCCAGCAATTCCACTTGTAGGTATGTACCCGGAAGAATTGAAAGCAGGATCTTGAAGAGATATTCGTACACCCATGTTCAAAGAGGCACCATTCACAATAGCTAAAAGGTGGAAGGCAGCTGTGGGGAAGGGTAGGACACCTGTAATCCCAGCTGCTGGGGAGGCTGAGGCAGGAGGATGGCTTGAGGCCAGGAGTTTGAGTACAGCCTGGGCAACATAGCTGTTCAAGTGTTCATTAACAGATGAATGGATCAAAAAAATTAAAAAAACGTGGTATATACATTCAATGGAATATGTACAGCTTCAAAGAGGAGAGAAGGCTGAGGTAGCTGTGCGGTTCTAGGGAGGCTGGTCGAGTTGGAGGGGTGGCTTACAGTCGCTGATCCAGCATCTCAGGGACGGTGGCAGAGGGGGATAATCGTAGCACCAACTTGCTGGCTGCAGAGACTGCAAGTCCGGAAGAGCAGCTGCAAGGATGGGGAGAAGTGATGCTAATTACGGATAAAGTCGCCCGATGGGAAAGAGCCTGGTCTCCACCTGCCACCATGGGTGTGGTTTCTTTGGTGTTTCTGATTATCTACTATCTAGATCCACCTGTTCTGTCCGGTGTTTCCTGTTTTGTTATGTTTTTGTGCTTGGCTGACTACCTTGTTCCCATTCTAGCGCCTAGAATTTTGGGCTCCAATAAGTGGACCACCTAACAACAGCAGAGATTCCATGAAATTTGCAGCAATCTAGTAAAAACTTGGTGCAGAGCTGTGGGCTGGTGGAAACACCTCTTCACACTAAAGGAAGAAAAGCCTAAAATGTACTTCATGGCCATGATCATTTCTCTTGCTGTGGTTGCTTGGGAGGGACAAGTCCCTGCTTCTCACTTACCTGATAGTGACTTTCTTACTGTTGCTTCCTGTACTTAACCAACATGGAATCATTTCGAAGTACATTGGAATGGCCAAAAGGGAAATCAACAAGCTTCTCAAACAAAAAGAAAAGAAAAATGAATGATTCATCTGCTTTCTTCAATGTGATTAATGTAGTGTACATTGTCCCTGGGAACAGTTTCTACTATACTTATGTGGATACTAAAATGTTACAGAAGTAGCTCTTTGCTCTCCCTCACTCCGCCGGTAGTTAATAGAAATTCAGACTCACCAAGTATGGCTTTGTGCAGAGTGTCTTCATGTCAAGTGTGGTTGGATACGTTCTCATCAGTTGGCCTTATGTGTACAACTCATTAGTGAGTGTGACTAGCTTTGATTTTTCTCACCCAGCGTTAACTGAATTCTTACTTTTAGGCAACTTCCTTTAAAATAACATAGCGGTGGACTTTACCCTTTGGTACAGTTAACGTGACTTGGGATAATTGTTGGAGTTGATCTTTGCCTTAGCTAGATACAAGATAGTGGTCTGTGGCTACAGGAAGCTGGTTCTACTGTCTGCTTTCACAGTCTGCTCAAAAAACTGTCTGATTGCAGGAATATAGAGACCAAATTTACCACTTCTGATGAAAGAGACCAATTAAGAACCATTCCTCATTCTGTTTCTTTGCTGTGGGGAAGAATCCCCATGGAATAAAATGAAACTAATTCCATACCCTAGTGTGCGGAGGTTTCTCTCTTGTGTAAAACCTAACAATTTGTGGGAAACATTGGTCCTTTCTCCCAAATGAGGGAAATCTGACAGGCTTAGAGCTCTTGTCCCCTTTCACTAAGACTTCATGTTAGTAAATATGTAAAGGCTTTTTAATAGCAGACTTCCAAAAGATTACATTTAGGATTTTTAGCATACTTTTAATTTTACATTTTCAGCTGACTTTAGCTGTAATATACAGTAGGTTAAGACTCATCTATGACCTTTACTCCAAGACCAGCCAGTAAAGGCCAAACATCTTCTTTGTTTAGTCAAGATTCATTTCAGTAGAAAGTAGTCTTCTCTGCCTAATTTTTCAGACCAGAATAAGCCTTTAAGTGTAATTCTCATTTTATGGTAATTACCTGGCTTTTTAAGTCCCCATAGGTTTGGCATAAGAGATAGTGATTACACTGGTGTCTGACTTTTTTCTAAACATTTCTCTTAAAAAATGCAAGGGCTGTTGGTGAGAGCAGACTTGAGTGGTGATAGTTGGCCTCTGGTCTACTTAGATTTTGTAATTCCTTGGAAAGCCTGTTATAATCGTTCTTTCCTTCTCAGTAGCTAGCAACTTAGAGTAGCTGAAATCTATAGGAATGAATCGAGGGCCAAAAATGTGACATATTTGGGAACAATTCTTAAACTGATTAACTAGTCGTAATATAGTTTTGTGAATTTATTGCACTGATGCTGTAAAACCTGTACCTTGTGGTATATCTGTCCCTATTAAGTGTTATTTTCTGTCCCTTTAATATTGCTGTAAACAGTGATACCCATTGATTTTTTTAATGTTTCATGTGAAAACTACCTTAACTTAACAATTTTTTCCTCATTGTAAATAAGCCCATCTTCCTACCCAGATTTTTTTGTGTATACATGTTCTACTGAATTCTACTACTTTTGCAGTTTTAATACTATATTATTTCTTCTACTTTGTTTTGTGTAAATGGGGAAAATAAAAAAAGCTGGAGGCCGGGCGTGGTGGCTCACGCCTGTAATCCTAGCTCTCTGGGAGGCCGAGGCGGGTGGATTGTTTGAGCTCAGGAGTTCGAAACCAGCCTGAACAAGAGCGAGACCCCGTCTCTACTATAAATAGAAAGAAATTAATTGGCCAACTAATATATAGAGAAAAAATTAGCCGGGCATGGTGGCGCATGCCTGTAGTCCCAGCTACTCAGGAGGCTGAGGCAGGAGGATCGCTTGAGCCCAGGAGTTTGAGGTTGCTGTGAGCTAGGCTGACGCCACGGCACTCACTCTGGCCTGGGCAACAAAGCGAGACTCTGTCTCAAAAAAAAAAAAAAAAAAAAAAAAGCTGGAAAAAAAAAAGAGGAGAGAAATTCTGATACATGCTAAAATACAGATGAATCTTGAGGACATTGTGCTAAGTGAAATAAGCCAGTCACAGAAGGACAAATTCTGTATGATTCCGTGACATGAGGTACATAGTCAAATGCACAGAGATGGAAAGTAGAAAGGTGGTTGCCATGAGTTGGGAGAAGAGGGAATTGGGGAGTTAAGGGTTTAACGGGTACATGGTTTCAGCTTTGCAAGATGAAGAGAGTTCTGGGGATTTGTTGCACAACAATGTGAATGTGTTTAATCAACACTACTAAAGTGTGTACTTACAAATGGTTAAGGTGGTAAACTTTATGTATGTTTATTTTATCACAATTTAAAAAAATTTTTAGGAATCTTGTGTGTACCTTAGGTCACTGAAGGAAGAAGGCATGAAAAAGTAGGACATGAGGAGACAAAGCAATGAAGCAGCCGGTAATGGGAAGAAAGGTGAGCTTGTCCGCCTTCCAATTGCCAAGGTCTAATGCGTTACCAAATTTTGTCTAAAGCTCAATTGCTGCAAGTTAAAGGAAACTGATGATTATAAGTTTACAAAACATCAGCTTGGGTGGAGCACTGTTCCAGACACAAAATCATAATATATAAATCCTGTTTACCTCATATTTCCAAAGTAACTATTTGTTGATCCAACTGAAATTTGTCGGAGGTGAGGGGCTGTTACTGGGGATGACTCCCTCATAAAGATATTACTATTGCTGCTTTTTCGAAGAATCTTAAGCATAAGGCAGAAATCTCTGTGAGAAGGGGTAGCGAGAAGGGAGAAATTAGGAATGGTTTCTATGAGCACTTGATTTTCCCTGGAAATTGGTGGAGAAAAATAATTCTAGAAAGTGCAAATTTTAAGGCCAGGTGCAGTGGCTCACGCCTATAATTCTAGCACTTTGGGAGGCCAAGGTGGGAGGATCACTTGAGACCAGGAGTTTGAGACCAGCTAGGCAATAGCTAGACCCTGTCTCTACAAAAATTTAAAAATTAGCCAAGTGTGGTGGTGTGCACCTGTGGCCCCAGCTACTCAGGAGGCTAATGCAGGAGGATCCCTTGAGCCCAGGGGCTTGAGCCCTAGCCCAGTTGCAGTGAGCTAGGATGACACCACTACACTCTAGCTGGGCCAACAGAGCAAGACCCTGTCTCAA